TCAAAATGACTTGACTTGGAATTTTTAAGATTGGACTTGATTTGATTTATGACTTGACTCAAAGCAACTCTGACTTGATTTGACTTGTGACTTGACCGTATATAAAAAAGTCAAGTCAAGTCTAAATATATATATATAATTGTTTTATTCACTTCAATTGCGGTTTTCTAACTTGAAATATAGTGAAAAAATAGAAATGAAGATCAACAAATATGTTCTTACAGTGAATTTGCATAAAATAAGATGATGGCTGTTGAAATATTCAGAAAATCTTTTTCCTCAATTGTTATTTGGCAGGTCATTTACGAAAAATATATTTCACGAAAATACGTTGTTTTCTTTGTTTTTATAATAACTAAATTAATAAACAATTTAGTGAACGATAGTAAAGCTTTAATATGGATTAAGGAAAGAATGTTTTCGATAATTTGCCTTCAATTAAAGAAAACTTGATGAAAATTCGATTGAACTCTAACTTAACTTGACTTGACATGGAAAGTTTTTAGAAATGCCTTGACTCGAGTCAAAAAATCGTTGATTTGCCCATCTCTGGTCACATTTGATACATATAAATGATATTAAAATCTCGGAATAAATGAGTATTGTAGAAACGATATACTGAATATGCCGAAATTATTGAAACTCTTTTATTTTGCACAATATCAGCAATAGAAATCGATATGAACGTGAACTGTTTGTATAAATAAGTGCCGTTAAATTCTCTTCCAACTTCAAAGAAGCATATTATCTTCGCTTGCTCTGATCGATGCTTAAAAGTGCTTAAGAGCACTTATACATGTTGCTGCCATTTCTTACTATATTAATATTGACGAGAAAATATGTACAACTTTTGGCAAAGTTCTTCCTTTATTCAAAACATAAGCTTCCGTGAGCTAATGAGATGCGTTTAGGAGTGTGATTGTTATTGATGTTGCGAGTCTAGGAAGAGTGTGTGAATCCACTTAGGTCTTCACTTAGCTCTGCGATGCCAATGCTTTCATCTGCCGAGAAAAGTGACATTGGATGTGACTCTGGCTGTGCTTATTGGGTTGAGTCTAGGTGCGTGAAGATGTGTGGATGTGTGTATATATTTGTGCCGGTGTGCGGTTGCGGGTGCCAATTCCAGTGTGAGTGCTGATATTCTGGTCACTCTTATCGACATTCTAACCAGCATATCTGTATCCATAGACTCATCGCCTAGTAGATAAGAATTTCCGGAAAAACGGTTAACCACGCTTCACGCGGCTTCTACTTGAGTGTTCTTACATCCACTGAGGAAACATTAGATTTAGCTACTTGATTCATAAAAATTGCTTGAAGACACTCGAGAAAGCAAGTTTTACATTTGAGAAACGTGAAAAATATTTTGTTGCAAAATGTTCATGTGTTTTGTCGATAGAAGTGACCTTTTCATGCGTGATAAGTGTTAAAAATATTGAAAGAAAACTTTTTGAACATTTTTCAGACACAAAGTTTGCCCTTTCAAGTGACTCCAAGTACCTTTTCTGAAGCAAGGAATTAGCCTTGGCGCTTTCTAAATGAACATCAAAATGCTAAAAGGAGAATCGCAATCCGGGAGATTAAGCATGTTGTCGAAAATTCTTGTTTATATGGGGATGTAGGCCTCGTTGTATGCGCGTGAGTTAAAATGTTGATGAGTGCCCATGTAAAAATTTTTGCTAATTTAACGAAACTTTGTGACGTGAAAATTCGTTAAAAGTTTAACGATTTAACGATTAAAAATATTACAATTTTGATCATGAAAACGCGTTAAAAGTGCGCAAAATTAACGCGTTTAATCGCGTTTTCAAATTCTAACGATCTTTTTTTCGATAAATCAGTACATTTTTAATGATTCTTCACACGTGAATTTATCGAAAACGCGTTAAATACGAAAGCTGATTAATATGTTACCCCTCAGAATTTTTTCATACATTATTATTTACTGCAAGTATGATGAACTTCCTTCAATAATCAGTATCTTGCTTAGTTTCACTCGCCTGAAAAGAAAAGTCCAGGTAATCAATTCAATATTGGATATACTTTTTAATAAGATGTTTCAGAAAGCATTGTTATCACTATAAATATTTCGTAATAGATAGCAAAACCAACGAGGAAGTACAATATTTTTTTTTTATTTTGTCGATATCTCGAAAGTGAAACTATTTATGGCTTTAACTTGCTACAATTTTGCATTCTTGTAGGTACCAGAAATGTATTCCATAGTTGACAGAAATGATAAGACTATTACTAGTTTAAAATCTGGGATATCGACAAAGTAAAAAAAAAATATTGTATTCTGTGATTTGTTTCGCTACCAATTACGAAATATTTTTAGTGATAATAATGTTATCTTAAGCATCTTATTAGAAAGTACATCCACTATTGAATTGATTAGCTGAATTTTTCTCCTCAGACGAGTAAAACTTAGCAAGATATTGATCATTGAAGAAATTTCATCATATTTGCGGTGAATCACAATGTATGAAAAATCCTGAGAAGTAATATATTCATGAGCTTGAACTATGGAAAGACAGTTTACATGAACTAATATAATTTAATTACCCCTTTCGTCTTAACTTAGTTTATCAGCTTACGTATTTAACAGAGATGAACCAGTCATAGTTTTCATATTAGATCTAGATTCTATAAGCGAAAAACTCAACTCAGCTCAACTCAATAGCGTAAAAGAGGAATTTATATCAATACACGCTTATATAGGTGGCATGTAGCTCGAGTGAGAAAGTTAAAATATCACAGGTGTGAAAACGAATGCAGCATTTAACGATATATAATGAGTTAGTTACCATTAAAATGACAATCACGCGTGAAAAAACGTGAAAAATCTAACGCGTTAAAACGAATTTTCCAAATCTAACAAAAATTCATGAAAATTTTCTTCGTGAAACTTAAATAATTTGTCTTTTGAGGCAACTTTTGACCTTAACTGGAGCAATTATTTCGCTAAACTTTTTTTTATCGTGTGGAGCAGAAATGATGATGATGTACGAAGTATAGAATTACATTCCTTTGATATAAAACCCATAGTAAATTTTAAAGAAAAACTGAAAGAGGAGTATCTTTATCTAGAATTAATTCAAGTAGTTTTGCTAGCGATTAATACAAAGTAGAGATTTCTCTAAAGGAGTGCTGCCTAATCTGATAAAAAGCTATTGATATCTGGATAGATATAGTCCACAGACACACTTGATATTTCGTAAATATAAGCCTTTCAAGATGATTTTTGTGTAATGTGCATAAACAAATATGTTACACAAAAAATCATGAATATTGTACGCGTGAAAACAATTAGTAGATTCAATGATGAATAATTAAATGACGTTCGTTAACAATTAAGATTTTCATTAAAACTCGTTAAAATATTTCACTCGTGAAAACAGTTACTAGATTTAACGAGAATCAATCAGTTAAGTTTCGTGAAAAATACAGAAATGCATGAAAACGCGTTAATATGTTTAACGCATGAAAATGAATACCAAGTTTAACGATATTTAACATGGTAAGATTGGTTAAAAATAAAAAAAACTCAAGAAATATCGTTAAACTTCTTAACGCGTGAAAATGAATGCAACGTTTAACTATATATAATGAGTTAGTTATAGTTAAAACGGCAATCACGCGTGAAAAATCTAACGCGTTTACACGAGATTTCGGAATATAACGAAAGTTCATGAAATTTTCTTCGTG